GACGCATCGCCACGAACGTGGCTCCTGGCATCGCCACGAACGGGGCGATCGGACGCTACGAACGGGGCTCCTGGCCTTATACTGCTAGGAACAAGGATGCTACCAGGGTCCTTATGTCCTTGGCCGTTCGGTCCTTTCAAGAAAGAGGCCAGGTCATTGGGCCATTGGGTGTCCTTTTGTTTTCTCTACAGGTTGGATGGCAGATGGGGGCTCAGGCAATGTGGTGTGTGAAAAAGATGTGGTCCTTTTTGCTGTGTGAAAAAGATGGTGTGTTTGTGTCTCTGTGTGTGTGTTTGTGCGCCTAGTTGTACGCGAGTTTTCTGTAAAAAATTGTTTGAATGTCACGACCACTGGTCCTCTATTCTTTGTTTGTGATCATGGGAGCTAGCATGATATCTTCCGTGCTTGAGGTCCTGTGCTTTTGGGGTTGCGGTGCGACGTCCACAGACGTCCTGAGCCGGTCGATAACCCTTCAAAAATTTGCTCCGAAACCCCATTCTGATTCCGTTTCATCCAACAACAATGGGCCATGGATGTTCCAAATCGATCGTGGTCTTTCTGCACCTGAACAGTCAGCCACCTGTGCACAGCCCACAAAAGCAGACCATTGATGTCTCACATGTCTTCACGTCTGCGATGGCCACTCGCAGGGACCGTCCCGGACCGCGAGGACCACGCCGGACCACGCCTCGCAAGACACAGGTTCTTGGGGTCTCCGCCCCCATCACTGTGTCTTGGGGTCTCGGGGTCTCTAAAATCCTTCACTCCAAATCCACTGTCCTTTCAACAGTTCGAGTGAAGGTCTTTTCCCGTGATAGAGTCTAGAGTGACCATCCTAAGGAAAAGGCGCTCGTGGATGGTATGGAGGTGGATCAGGAAGCAGATCACCCGAGCACCTGGCCCCAATTGGATGGAGACGTGGTGGTCATGACGTGTCACCAGGACTGTCAGTCCGGACGGTCACCGAATTGGAGGGTCTCTTCGGACCCCAAAAAACGACCCCAGCCGCGCCGGCCGGAGGCAGTTGCTGCAGTAGAGAGGATTGCTTGGATGTCTTTTCGTCAAGTTTCCTTGAATAGTGCAAGTTGGGGGGTTGGCTGGTTGGCTGGTTTAGTTTGGAAGGTGTGTTATAGACTTACCCTACTGACATCAGTTGGACAGTTCCGATGTTCAGGTTCTTTCAGGTTTGATCGATCATTTGTCGCATCCTCTACCTTCACCATGACCGCCCCCTCCTTACTTCGTCTCTTCACTCCGCCTTTCTCCCGACCCCAGACATTCTCAAGCAGCTTATCTCCTCATCGGCCCGAACCGAGGGGAAGAGCTGGAGGCCGCGGAGGCCGATGCCATCCACTGGTGCCGCTTCTTGGACCCTTTACAGGCGAAGGCACCGGTGGGAAGCTCCAGGTGTCCGAAGCGGAGTTGGAGTTCTTGGTCTTCTGTCGAACCTGCGTCCAACGGCGCTTTCGTTGGGTTTGTAGAGGGCAATCATGGAAACAGACATGGCCCAAAGACGTCTTTTCAGGTGTAGAGGGCGGTGTGGGCGGCATGGTGACATTGCGTCGAACACGAGATGGATACAACAGTCAGACAAAAGATACAGAAGAAGACACCTTTCCCTCATCCCAACAACCCCCCAGCCTCCATTCACCTCCGGAAGAGGTGGGCCACCACGGCAGCACTCCCTTGCACCTCGCCGCCGAGAGTGACGCGCCGGGCGTGGTGGCGACGCTGCTGGAGGCCAAAGCAGAGCCGCAACTGGGGGACGACCAGGGCGACACGGCGCTCCATTGCGACCCGGCGCTCCGTTGGGCGGTTGGGGTCGGAGGTGAGGAATATTGGGACTCAGACCTGCCGGTAGAATCTGAGGGGTGATCTTGGGGTGCGACTTGAGCCCAGAGTTCGTGATTCATTGATCTTCTCCGGATTCGTAGGTGGCACTACCAATTTTAGCCATGGACAGCCATGGTCTTCTTTGAGGCAGAAGCGCGCTTGCTGAAAGAAGCCTACCGATATCAACCCCGGTTTAGCGGTCCTGCCGCAGCCTTGACAGGGTCACCCCAAAAGCTGTTGAAGGATGCAACAGTGCATGCCCAAGAATCTTCATCATCGCTCATCGATTAAAACCTCAAACCATCCACACCCCAAACTCACCACCAACCAGAGCTCATTCAACATAGCATTTGTCGCCTTTGAAGAACAACATGCTTCAAAAACAGCTCAAAACCCCTTCCTTTTCCCAATTTGGTGGACCCCAAAACACACCAAAGCCTAGGCGCGATGCTGTACGGAAGCCCACGAGCCTTGGAGGCGCTCCTCGAGCGGGGCGCGTCACCCTATGTGGAGAACGGATCGCAGGAGCTGCCGCTGCACCTCATGGCGGAGTTCGGGCCTGGCCACTCGGCAGAAGCAGATGCCATCGACCTTTGCGGCGGAACACACAGGCCGAATGAAGCCTAATGTGTGTTCTCTTGAGAAACCACCCTCATTTGAAGTGCAAAATCCTCTTCATATGGGGGGGTTAATTAATCAAGAGTCTACATTAAGCTAGAGACAACAGGTCCTATACAGGCCATTTCTTTTCCGATCTGGCAAGATTCGTGGATCCTCACCGGCGACGACACAGCCGCTGTACACAGCAATGCCATCCACTTTGGATGGGTTCATGTGCTTCAGTGGGGCGTCCGACCCGACCACAGCACGACAGCAACATCCACTCACTTAGGGTGTCCGCTTTCACGCAAAGGAGAACCGAAGATGTCTCCAAAAGAAGGTTTAACGACAAAACAAAGATGTCTTGAGTCTTCATGAACTGAAGATGATCGCTTTCAAGACGGACGAGTCACCGAGTCACCATACGAACACCCACTGCCGGCAGGTGACGATGACCCACTGCCTCCGGCCTTGTCCTCGCGGCACTTCGCCAAGACCTTCCGTGCCCAGACGCGGCTACTGGAAGCCTTGGCACAGCGCCAACAGTTGGCAGCGGCCCTGGCGCATCGTGCGGAAGGTGATCTCAGGAGATGCGGGTTCCGCGTGTGGGCGCTTGGGCGCAACCGCACGGTATTCTCACCATATTTTTGGTTTGCAGGACATGTGCCAAGGACGCTACTACGTAGGGGCTCCTGGCCTTACTACTAGGAACAAGGACGCTACTAGGGGCTCCTGGAGGGTCTTAGGTATCATCCCAAGTGGTGCTGAATCCTTTCGGAGGTGCTTGAACATGCCAAAACATCATAAAACATCTACACCAAAGACCATAAAAATGACAAGACTACTAAGACCCTCGACGCACCAGAGGGACTTGGGCGTTCGCTTCCCTGTCCAGTGATGGCCTCCGACGCCTTCACGTCGTACGTCTGGCGATGCCGATCCTTCGAGCTGGCTCCGGTCGAGAGGAACACGCCGCTGCACAGTGTGGCACGGCACTGTCATCCGGGGGCCCTGCATGCGGTGGAGCTGCTGGTGAATGCCAGGGCGGACATGGAGGCCACCAATGAGGAGCGTAGAGTGGGAGGTATGAGGAGGTATGAGCATGTGAGGGCGAGAAGGGCTTTCACTAGGCAGGCCAAGTATATACTAATATTATGTGGATCTCCGCAGATTTGACTTTTTCAAGATATGTGTGTGTTGGATTCTAAACAGGGCGCTTCTTACTTTGACAGTAAGAAGGACAGCGAGTGCAGTGGATACTCCCTCAAAAGATCTCAGCCTTATGTTCAACCAACATTGCAGCCCTCAAGCACCTTTCCTCTCAGCCAAACTCGATTCCTGTTCGACTCGACCAAAAACAGGAGGGAAAAACTCCTTTGGCCATTTCCCTCCGTCGCTTTGGCGCTACATCCCCCGTGGTCGCCCTCCTCCGTCGCCTCGGCGCGCGCGCCCCGGACGCCGACGCGCCGTCGTCCGGGGCGGCGGCGCTGGCGGGGGCGCTGGGCGGCGACGTGCGGCCGCTGGCGCCGGCAGGAAGCATGGAGGTGGGAGGGAAGGTGCTATAAGGTGCTTTGTGTTGGTGGTGAAGATCAAAAAGCACAGAGAATGAAAGGGAGGACAACAACATTCTATAAGGTTCCTCTTTGAAGAGGGGGTCGGACCAAAGAGTTGATGCGTTGGTGTCGTGGATTTTGAAGATTTGGACTGGATAGATTGCTGGTTTGCTTGCAAGGGATGTTGATCAGTATAGCAGTGCAGTATCAGATTGATCACCCTCCTTCACCAGCAAAGACAAAGAACAACTGAACTGAGCTACCAGATGCTGGTGACGTCTTTGGTTCATTTTAGGACAAGATCAACCCCCAAACCAACCACACACAATCACATACATCTTTTCTTCCTCGGCATACTGTCTAGAGTCTGGTAGACGCACCGGCAACTTCTTAAAATCCTGCAACCAACAGAGATTCGTGCCTTTATCTTCCAAGACACGCTGTGGAAAGACACAAAGCGCTCTTCTCTTCTTTTTGCATCATTTGAACTTCAACCGAATGAGGTACACTCCCAGTCATTATAGAGGCGGGAAAGCACCACCCTTTTTTTTGGTATTCGGAACATGATGGTCATCCTTGCTGGGGCCATGCGGTCCATGATAATATGCCCTAAACTGATTTCAGGGAAGAGGGAGATTTCGGTTTCCCGGTGCAGGTGAGCAGGTGAGCGATGCGTCGATGCGTGCAGTCTTTCCTTGCTCGAAGCACCTGATCGCTGCAGGTGGACGCTGGGTTACCCATCCACAGTGAGACACAGTGAGCCATTGGACTGGGCAATGCTCGCGCGAAAAAGGACACGTTGCAAGAACAGAAGCCGATGCTCCCCGACTCGTTACTTCCCCAAAAACTCAACCCCGAACCGAACACACAAAATAACAGCCAGAACTGCTTCTTTTCTATTTCCGGACACGACAGGACGACCTGCATTTTTCCCGCCCAACAGATCTATAAAAGATCTATGGATCGGCGCGCGATGTTTGCGTGCTGCGCGCGTGGTTCACGGGCCTCGCCTAGGCTATACCGAGTTCGTGGATGCTCTGGAGCGGGCGGAGGAGGAGTGCCGGCAGTGCGGCATCGCCGCGGCGATGGCCGCGGGGGGTGCGCTGGGGCAGAGCGCGCTACAAGCAGGTGGGGGATGAGATGGGAAGTGGAAATCCGATGGAGATGGAGATGGTCTGACCAAGATTTGGCTTCAAGTCGTTGAGGATCCTTCGGGGTCCCTTTTTGAGAATTGAGATCGGCCACAAACTCTGAGGCTCTAGTAGCAAGGACGCGACTGGTGCATGCTACTAGTAGCAAGAAGCCACGAACGTAGCTTCTGTGCATCGCGACTAGTAGCTAAGCGCATTGCTACTGGTCTTTCCAGCCAAGTGCCTTAAACATCCTTAAACGGACCGGTTGGGCCGGCTTTCCAAGGTTTGGGCCTGCGAGAGGCGGCGGACTGCGCGGCGGGGGCAGCGCTGAGGGCGGCCGCGGAGTTTGGGATGGTGCCGGTGGCATCTTGAACGAAAGCAGCGGTGAAGAGCGTGCACAGCGTAGTTAGAATTTCAATATATATATATAATATATATATTTCAATGGATTAGGAATTCGATGGTTTCCATTTGCCGACTGAGTTCCTGTGGAAAGAGATGCATGGCATTTGAAGGCATCATGTTGGATCACTGCTTTTTGATATGTGTCCACAGACGGATACATCGTTTGCAGAGGCTTGAGTCTGTAGCTATGCCAACAAAAAGATCATTGTTTTTTTGACAGCACAGGTTCCTCACAGTGCACACAGATGAGGAAAACTCATTCATGTGTTCTTGTGCCTGTATCTTTTTCCGATTGTCAGTCATGACCATTCCCAATCAAATCCAATCAATAATAGTACTGTAACATAATTCCACCGATTCTGTTGCCCAAGACCAGTGACCACCCCAAGCAGATTTAAGATGTTCTATAAGTTGCCCAGGGATGGGTCTCCATCTTCAAACGATTCATGAAGATGCCTGGAACTCCTTTCTTTTTCAAGAAGTCCCAACAAATTAAAATGGTTTCAGAAGTCCCAACAAATTAAATGGTTTCAGAGTAGATGGCACAATCCGGCACAATCCCCAAGTTTGGTGGTTTAGATGGACTCGGGGATTGCGCCATCTACTTGAAACCAGGGTGATCTCGGGGTTCTTGCCTTCTCCATGCAGTCCATTTTACACTTCCGGAGGGTACACACTTGAGATGTCCAAAGTGGTGTCCCCCACTCTTGAAACCAACACATCAAATTTCCCTTCTTCCAGGGGTCTGACTGGGAGGTCGGTCTTCCTATCGTTTCACACCCGAAGTGATCCACACGGCGCTGTCGGAGCAGAGCACCCCAACAAGGACGCCGCCGCGCTGGGCGGCCGTGCGGCCGCGAAGCTGGCGGCCGAGCAAAGCCTCGACCGGGCGCAGGCGGGATGTGAGATGGTGAGTTGGAGAACGGAAAGGGATGGGATGGCGGGGGTCAGCAGATGATGATGATGATGATGAGGAGGAGGAGGAGGAGGAGGAGCATGATCCTGGATGGGAATATGATATGAGATATAATATAATTGATTGGGATGGGCAGAAAGGGTGATCTAAGGCGAATCAGCAGCGGGTGCAGGCACTGGGGGATCACCAACGGTGCCAAGTCTGAAGATCCCAAAAGGACACCTGGCGGCTAAGTTTTGCCACTTGGCAGCTTGCAATCTTCAAGTCACACCGGTCTAGTAGCACTGCCCTTGTTACTATCTAGCGTAACAAGTGCCACGCTAGTAGTAACAAGTGCCTTACTAGTAGTAACAATGTTTGATATTAGAAACAAGTGCCTTACTACTAGTAACAATAAGAATCAAATTAAAATTACTAGCTTCTTGTTACTACCAGTAAGGCCCTTGTTACTACTAGCGATGCACTTGTAATTACTAGCTTCTTCTCTTCAATCCAAAAGTCCGCCCGCAGTCCGTGACCCGCAGGCCGCGGACGCCGCCGCCGAGGCGGCTGGGCAGCACGCCACGCGTGCGGCGCTCGAGGCGGATCTCACCTTGGAGCAGGTGGCCGACGAGGCGAGTGGCGCTGAATGCATGTTATGATACTTTAAATTAAGCATGCTCTTATTTAATTAAGAAGGCGCCTACTTAATGCCGCACCTACCTACTGGATGCAGGACAACTCACGCTTCTATTCAATTGGTTCCTAGGTTGGTTTGCTAGTGTGCTTGTTTGTTTTGAAACTGGTGCTGATGTGTCACTGATGTGTCCTTCCCCACTTCTAGGACTGGATTGAGAATTAATGATGACTCCTGGAGCAGCTGAAGTGCTCGGAATCCACCATGGCATACTTCAGCCAAAGCCCCTAGAGCTGAGAACAGCACTGGAACTGCAGCCTGTGCCCCTAGTGCGTCACTGGAAATCCACTCTAGGACTCTAGGAACCCCAAAGGAGCCCGGAAGGAGCTCCAGAAAACCTCAGGTCTAATGGCAGCACCTGCTCCGACGCCGCTCAGGCGGCGATCGCAGCGTCGGCGGCAGCCGAGGAGGCTGGGAGCGGCGCGCAGCAGGTGGCCGAGGTCTCCGCGCGCGCGGCCGGTGTGGCCGCAGGCGCGGCCGGTGTGCGGCCGGTGTGCGGCCGGTGCGGCGGAAGGGGACTAAGGGGACCGTGTGGTGCGGATTGTTGTGGATGTGGTGGAACAAGAAGGTACAAACAAGTAATTGGTGACAAGTGCTGGGTGCAGAATATGTCTTATGAGCATGGAAAGCAACACAAAAGTGCCCCTACTACCCGGTTTGGAGAGTTATGGCTTAGGAGGGTCGAAACTTAACACGCACTGTACACACTGCTGCCTGTTGAAGAAGGGCAAAAAATCACAGGCCGGGAACACGAGATATTTGTCTTCCCGAGTATCAGCTAGGACAAGAAGTGTAGTGTGATCAGTGGCTGTGATTCAATTTTCAGACACTTTCTTGCATATTGAAGCATGATGATCGAACATGACCAATGGTCTTATGGTCGGCATGTTTCTCCAACTCGTCGGGTATGATGGCTCCAGACAAGTACAAATAGGCCAAAACACCCTCTTCTAACTCGACGGCGTGACTGGAGCCACTTTGCCAGTCATCATGTTCCCCGACAGAGCATGAACTGGACGGGAAAATGTCCAGATCTGTCGAGATATCCAGAGACATCCTTATTTACTGGTACACTCTTCATCACTACTGATCTCTTTCATCCATCCCTCTCTGTTTCAGAAACCTGGACCGCCAGGCGAGTTGGCGGCCGAGGCCGGGAACACCGCCATGAAGTCGGCGGAGATCGCCGCAAAGGCCCGGAGACGACGGTGGCACGCCGTGGCGGAGACGACGTGGCCAGGTATTTGGTTCGATGTATTTTTTTGGGGTGAAAGAAGGATCCTAATTTTTTTATATGACGATATAGGTGCTACAAGTGTGATGTTGTGCAGCTGATGCTTCAATGTATGTCTGATGTGGGGACGATTGAGACCCTTCTCTCAGGCGGCCACCAAGTCCGCTGCAGCCTCGGGGCTGCCGCCCTATCAGGCGGTGGAGCCAGTGGCCACGGCGGCGGCCAGGCAGGCGGTGGATGGGATGGCGAGGTGTGGATGGAGTTTTGGTTCCTGGACGGTGGCACCCTTGGGGGCGGTGTTATTGGAGATTCTCCATCACTTCTTATCTATTCCTACTTGAGTCACTTCCATCAAAGATCAACAGTAAATTTGTCCTGCCTGACGACAATTTCAAGCCATCGATGAGGAGTCCCTTGTTCATGCGAAGCCTTTTGAAGTGAAGATCGGTGAAGTGATCTGGAACCAAAGTTCTACCAACAAGCTCTCGTAGAGTCCAGCCCTGTGCCAGCATTTGAGAGGACTCGAATCTAAACACCTTTGCCACAATAGCAACAGTAGACCTCCTCCCAGTCTTCCACTTTACGGTGAATCCTTCTGCCAGGTCAGCCATGCGTGCGGCACTGAATGGTGGGCATCCCTACTTGATCGTGGCGGAAGTCACCAGGTACCTCAGAGACCCGATGTTGCATAGTTGTTCAGTATACCGACCATTGTTCAGTATGCATAGTACGTACTCCTGCACAGGATGAAACCACCGGGACGGAGCCACATACATATGCGAGTTAGAGCAGTTGTTTTGCCCAAGAAGGGATCGTTTTCTTTTGTCGTTGAGCCAAGGCTTGCATTAAATGAACGGGAGGTTGTCTTGCACTGTGTCTGTCCACTCCGATTGGTTGTGTGCTTGGCCAACTCAACAGTGGTCATGTGGAGGTTGTCTAAGGTCAGCCCATATCATACTCATTCGTACTACATGTCTAGACGCGGAGTGCATCAAATCAATCATGCTTAGTGTTGAACATGGAACATCCACAATTCATGGCTGCGAATCTTGAGCAAGCCCGGTGTTGATGACCGTCCACCTGAAATCGGTTTGGACATTGAAAGAGGCAATCTTGGGGAAATCCGAAAAGGGATTGCACGGCGCAAGAGCGCATGGATTGCCGTGCTCATGCATCATGGCGTGTTCCGAGCTCCGGCGACGAGGCAGTTGAACTCCCAGCTGGTTGAAAACCTCAAGGCACCGGACGAGCGCAGACGTGGTTTCTCATGGTCATTTTGAGAGACCAAGTGTAGTCCCCCAATTCTCATCCATTGTTTCTTCTTCAATTGCAACATTGCTCTCATGGGGACCCAGAGTAGAAGATAGAACACCTGCCAGCGAGACTTGTGAAGCTTTGCCCTGACAGGAGGTGCATCAGAATCGGCCAGATCGACTAAGTGTGAGCGAGTTGAAGGACATCGATTGATACGACCCAATCGCTATTGAGCCGATAATTCTTACTGAAATGCTTGATTTAAACAATTAAAGCACTGAAAATGATTCCACGTGGCAATTGGGCAAATAGAATTGTTTGTACGAGTACAGGTCACCATGTTTTCTTGGAGCTTTGGCAGTGTTGTCACCAAATCTATGTAGAAGACCACCAAGTTCAGATGCTTTTAAATGTATCTCTGCTTGAATGATTGGGACCTGCCTGATTAGCCGAGCCCCTGGAATGCGCAGCACTGAAGGACCTCTTTGGTCAGGCGAACATCGATATCCATGAGGAGCGAATGTCGCAGAGACAACACGTGTTCTTTCAGAAAGAGTCATGGGCGAATGAGCCTAATAGCGATGGCCAACCTACTTGCGATGGCCTCCACCTAACAGCGTCCTTGTTACTAGTTCCTCTTCTTTCCATTTCAAGACAGTTGAGGCTAAAACGGCTTACAATTCTGAGATGTGAGGTGGTTGGAGAGCTTGTGTTCCCCATCCCACCAACCCAAGAATCACTCAATCTACTCGAACTTCTCCAGTCTGTTTCCTGAACCGTTTCCTCCCAAAAACCCAGGTTCTGAGCCGCACCGTGCACATCCCTGGACCTGCAAGGACACCTTGAGGCAGGTCTTCGAGGAGATGGGCGTAGAAGGCTCGCAACCCATCAGCTTCCAAAGCTTCTTCCAGGCCCACTCGGCAGTCGTCAGGTTTAGGGCCTTCCAGTGGAAGAGGGATGTCATGAATTGTTTCCTTTGCAGATACCAGTTTTCGATCCTTTTCGGCCCCTTCCTTCAATTCTGTGGCTCAAAGGAGCATGGTGTACCGAGACTCAGCTTCTTGGTGTACAAACCGGGAAGCTTCAACCGCCGTTCTTTTGATAGAAAGAGCTTTGACCGTTCACGCGGTGAGACCATCGAGCAGAACCTATCAGACCTTATCCCATCGAGTACATCATGTACCGGCAGAAAGCGAAGATTACCTGTAGGCTATCGGCATCAATGGACTGTTTCAGTGAAACTCGTGGGCTCTCTGGGGGCACCAATTGCTGAACATTGAAATAAGTTAATAAGTACTAGAGTGTGTCTCTCACTTCATTTGTTTCTTCAATGTTGTGGTTAAGAAATGGAGCAGTCGAGGCTGGTTGACCAACAACACGCTTATTAACTTATATTGTGGTTAAGTGCCACCCCGGTTACGATGGAAAGGGAGACGACTGATGCTTGGACTTCAAGACAACATTTGTGTGGACAAGGGTGGCCCTCGAGCAGTCAAAGCTTTTGTCTGGCATTCCAGTGTTACTCTGCTCAATTTCTGTGGGGGAAGACCATCTTCCCGATCACGGTTTGAAGCCACCGGCCAGGCTTTGGAGAAGTCTCACGGCATCTTCATGGAGGCCCTTGTGACAACCGTTGTAACCGAAAGTCAAACCGGAGTGGTCCCGAGACCATGCGTTCTTCTAATCGCAGAATTTGTGGCCGGTTTGTGCCCACCTTGAATATCGGTTAAAGAGCAGGTTTTCCGGTCACCAGCACAAAAGAGTGCAAAAAGAAGTTACTTCCACTGGCAGTATCCAAGTCATACAAAAGCTTTGCGAAGAGGCTTCTCGAATGTATCCCAATTCGATATGCACTTGAGAAACGTCGCAACAACTCCTTGGATCTGTCACATGCCCAAAGGTTTGCTCGTCCAGTGGAACTGGACCTTCGTCGAATGGCTTTGGAAGCCCCAAAACCCAAAAGACCATCTGCCAGCGCCCCCCCAATTTTGGTGTGTCTAAGAACAACTATAACCCTTACCAGGACCTTATTAGAGGTGATTTTTTTGGACACCCCGAATCACCTCTAAGGGGCCAAAGTCTTTGACACCTCTTTGAAGAAGGTCCTGGGTGACGGAAACGTCGCCTTGGCGAGGCTGGAAAGGCCGCCGCCTCCATCGCTGGCCGCGTCCTGGGACAGAGCGCTGCCTCCGCTGGGGATGATCCCGAACAGGTAGGGGAATCGCTGGGTAAAGTCTGAAAAAAGGGGTCCTAACGGTTCGATGTTCATTGGGCATCAAGTGAATGGTGTTTTCTATGTGCTTTCTTTACCAGGCTCCCAAGTCTTACATAGCTGACATAGCCTCACTGAATGGCCGAAGTGTTTCTGTACAATGTGGTTCCACCGACCTAAATTGAACAATGTCCATGACATGCTATGACTATATGGCTCCAAGCCATGATTCCCATAAGCTTTGAATTTGTGGTCGAAACACAAAAAATCTACGCAAGTGGGCGCTAAAACGTCTTTGATTTTGAGAAGTGTTGTGGATGTGTGGCGTTTTCGCGCAGGCTGGTGAGGTGGCGGCGAGCGCTGCACAGGCGGCAGCCAGGAGACGCCCAAACTCTTATTTTTTGAACGCCATCCAAAATCACCGGTTAGGAATGGTTTCGCAAACGCTGCTCATTAGGTGTGTGTGTGTGTGTGTGTGTGTTTTTTTTTAAAAATATTTTTAAACATTTTTACATATCACATTGATATCACAATGCTGAATGTACTTGATTTGTCTTGATGCTAGTTATGCTACTTGATCATCAATGCATTTCTAGCACTGCATAGATGTTGCCCAAATTAGACTCCCAAGAAGGGCCAACTCTCTGGACAATTCTGTTCAGGTTGGAGAAGCTCACGACTTGCCCACATTGTTGACTTGTGTTGGAACGAGCAACATCCACTAAAAAACAAAAGAGCATGATATTGAGTTGAGATGGTCTCCTCAACTCAATAGACCAACAACATCTTGGACAAATACAGGACACAAAGCTTCTACAACATTCTGGCTTTGCAAAGAAACTACTAGGGGCTCCTGGCCGTACTACTAGGATCGTTTCCTAACATCTTTGAAAAGCAGGCTTCACCAGCCTCCGATCCAGGACCAGTGGCCTCTCGGACGAGCAGCTCGCGGAGGTGGCCGTGACCGCAGCGGGCAACGCCGCACCACGGCCGTTGATTTGGGGGCGGCCGAAGTGGACGGATTTGGGTGAGGAGATCATGGACCAACTGCTGCTGATGGGCTTTTGTTTTCTGGTTTTGTGCGATGTCGATCGATGTCGTTGATCCTGAATCGGTGCCATTCCAGGTACAGCAGAATTCCAATTCGGGCAGTGTCTGAAACGACGCGGCGTTGGGGTGTTCAACGCCACAAAGCAGGGTTTCTAGAGTGCTGGCTAGATGTTCAACCAAATGCAAAGAAGTTCGGTGTCAACTACTAATGGGTCACCATCACTAACACGCGTGTAAATTGTCAACTTGGAATACCTGCCAAACTGTCGCAAGTGAAGGTGGAGACCTTTTCTCTTTGGATCCCCCAAAATCATCCAACATGATGTTCAAAAAATCGACATTTGCCACGCCACACGCCACGCATAGCCTATAGTCATGCCACAGTGCTACGCGCAGCCACGCTATATCACGCAGCCAGCTTCGTGATGCCACCGCTGCGGCGGAGTCGACCGCGCTCACCGAGGCGGGCCATGCAGCCTTGGCTGCGGGCGGCGCTCCGGAGGCTGTGGCCTTCGTGGCGGGCCAGGCATGGCACCGGTGGATGGATGAGGATTGGAGGATGACAGGCATGGCATCACCTGGTCGACAAGGGTTTGGATGTGTTGGGTAAGGTTCGACAAGGCAATGAACTTCTTGTCTTTGGTGCTCAAATCATGCTGGATTTGGATGACAGTTGGTCCAGTTGATTGAATTTCAGCTTCATGCGCACTCTGTTTCTGTTGGTCAAAGATGGTCCGCAGGGGGAGTTGGTGTTTTTCCCATGTGGGAATCGGTGGAGTAGGTTGAACTCAATGGAGTGGCGGAGTGGGGAAGAACCCGGATCTTTCGATACTGAGTCTGGGAGTCTATAGGGGATCTACCGGTAGTACATAATAGATCTAATTCAAAGCAGACTCACGGGAGACCAATAGGGGATCAGAACATAGGGGATTATAGGGGATGAGCTTGGTCACCACATGTTTGACCAGAACCGACACGTTTGCAGGGAATATGAACAAGCTCCAACCAACGGAGACCAGTTTCCAGTTGTTTGCAGATTGCTTCACGTTCATGGCACTAGGAGTCTTTGGAGTCTTTGGAGTCTTTTGCGACCACTTCCGTCCGCGACCATGTCAGCGAGACATGTCAGCGACCACCGCGACCAACGCAAGGCGGCCATCAATGCAGCTACCACCGCCGGTCTCAACACACAAAGGCTACCACAGGTCGGGTCGGTCGGTCGCGCGTTGGGTCGCGCAGAAATCGACCAGGTGAAATCGAGTCGTGAGTTGTGTGGAACATGAGTGGGTGAGAGTTGTTGAAAAACACAGACGATTCAAGTGAACAAGGGCATTTTGGAAAAAGAGCAGCCTTGAAGGCGAGGAATAGAATCTCTGAGTATAGCATAAAGTTTATCAACTTTCTGCCCGTTTGCCAAGGGGTCGATTTTCTCGTGTCATCATGAACATGCAACTTAAGCTTGTATTTTGGGGATTGATGTCTGATTCTTTAGTTTAGTTTCCCGAGTTCTACGCGGTTTCTCTCATTTTCCTCCTTTTCGTTCCTTCTCCAGGTCATCATCCCGGTTTTTGCTCGGGCAGCAGGCGCCTTCAACTCAACCGAGGTGTGAGGTGAAGCACTTTAAGGTAGAACATGCAATTAATGTAGTTAGCCATAATTGGTGCCGGTCGCAGGCGGTTTTGTGGAGCAGGCGGATTTTTGTGCTTTTGCAAGTCCTAGAAGTCCATATATACATGATTTAAGTCCGAACAATAGATTACAAGGGATTCCGATTCTGTTTCATGAAACATTTGGAGTCAGCCTGATGTATGAATAGGAACCCCAAGCACAAACGAAGACAGTTTCTGCCTAATAGCCGAGTTTCTGCCTAATAGCCGAGTTTCTGCTTAATCACGCGAAGACGACAGTGGAATTCTTGTTTTGCAGGGAAGAGGGTCGAAGAAGAATCTCCTTGGTCCAGGTACCAGCTTTAGGGGCACTTGGCACATGTTTCTTCGCGATGTTTGGTTTGCATTGCCTTTTTCACCGACAAGAGGAATGGGGACGGCTCTGTTGAGACTTGAAACCTCCCGACTTAGCTACTCAGCTACTGCGATGATCTCACAATCCTTGTGTTGTTCTTCCCACCTAGTAGCGTCCTTGTTCCTAGTAGCGATGGCCTCCAACCTACTTGCGATGGCCTCCACCTAGGAGGCAAATGAGGTTCTTGAGGTCCAATGATAGGCAGTTCTTGGCCGTTTGTAGATCCCAATCTCCAACAATTTGGGAAGAACTTATCACTTCTGCCGTGAGATCTCTCTCAAGCCTTGGTCGCTGGTACACGTACGTTGTTGAAGAAACTGTTGGTCATGTTGAAGATGTGGGTTCCTTGGAGAAACAAGTCCCACTCCTTTACATCACTTACAAGTCCCACTCTTGAAGATGTGGGTTTCCCACTCAAGTGTTCCTTGGAGGGTCTCACTTCCTATACTTGCATCCGGTGACATCCTCACGTCCCGCGACGCCTCCCGTGACCAGCCCATAGGAAGAGCCGCTGCCCAGCGTGCGGGCAATGGTGCCTTGGAGCTGAAGGTTTGAGATGATGGGTCCGAGTAGCGATGCCCTTGCTCCGTTCGTAGTAAGGCCAGGAGCCCCGTTCGTTAGCTTCTTGTTCCGTTCGTAGCGATGCCCTTTGTTCCTAGTAGCTTCTAGTTACAGTTACTACGTAGTAGTCATGCCCTTGCTACTAGTAGCGATGCCCTTGCTACTATTGATACTTTAAAAACATATAATTAAGGAAGACTCGTAGCTTCTTGTTGCTAGACTTGAAAAAAAAGCGATGGCTTCCGTTCTAAAACGCTCTCCATTTCGCCCTCCGTCCCGCCTATCCGACCGTGGCAGTGCAGCCCCGTCCCACCGAGGTCGGGATTCCTCGAAAGCCTTAGAGGTTGCCGCAAGAGCCGCGAGCGATGTGGGGGGCTTGAAGTCTGAACACTCGGTCGCGGCCATACTATGCGTTGGATGAAATCCGCAAGTCTGATTGTGAGATTAGAGCCTTAAAGCAAATTGAAAGGTTTAAGAAAAGGTTGGGCCTTAGATCCAAGAAGGACATGTTGATGCGGGTTGATGCGACTGATTTGATCACTTGTTGCAGCTGCGGTTTGGTTCGTGTTCGTCATCAACTCTATTCCCTACAGGCCAATGACCTCACTGGAGTTGGTCATAACTGGAGGTAAAACATGTGTTTTTTTTTTTTTTTTCTGAGTCTTTGGACTTGGGATTGTTTTGGGAGCGATCGGACGCTACGAACGGAGCTCCTGGCCTTACTAGGAGCAAGGGCCTTACTACTAGTAAATACTAGTAACAAGAATTAGAATAGAATTAATAGTAATTAGAATTAGGTCTATATAGTTAGAAGTAAAATTAGTAGCAAAGGAATCTACCATGGTCGCAGAGATAGGACTGTCTCAATGTAGCTTAGCCACGCGGTATGGCGATCGAGCACTCAACGAAAGCGACAAGTAGTCGCTGCACACAGCCTCTGCACACCCACAGCCCCATCTGCCACATGAACTTACATGACATTGCGGTCGATCTGGCAAAGTACTTGCGATCAGATTGACCAAAGTACTCCCTGTGCTTTGTTGTGCACTAACTATGAGCTATGAGATCCGGTTGTTTAAAGGCTGTGTGAACATACATCAACCTTTGCCTCTTTGCTGTAGCTACTGAGGCTGGGCTCAAGCTGGCCTTCATGACAGATGCACATATCCAAGAGGTGGGTGGGCCATGTTTTTGTCCTGGCAGAAGGCATGGATGATGTAACATCTTAAGCATTTATAGAGTAGCTGAGTCGCTATCACTTCCTTCAAGGTGACGCGCAAAACGCCTTTTGGGGGAGAAGAAGGAAAGAGAGGGGGTGGGCAACGCAACATGGACTCTCCAAATCCAAGTCAATGGGGAATCATCATGCATGGATCAAGATCCAGGGATCATGTGAGTAGAGAGTCATATCCACCTGGCATTGATCATGGACTTCAGAATATTGTTGAACACAGACATTCTGGGCCATCCACTTGGCATCCAATCATTCCTTCGTTTCCATTGCTACTGTTGATAGACTGATAGACAATGGACGAATCGTGACTCAAGTGGCAGTGGGACACACAAGACGTTTAGACTTGATCTGTATGCATCGGGTTGTAATGTATATAGTGAGGGTTTCCCTTGCAGGCATTGGCTACAACTGACTGGTGGTCAGTAGTATAGAATTGGCTCGTTGTCCAACTACTAGTAGGAGGGCACTCCGCACTGAAGTCTTTTTGTTGCATGTATTTTGTGGCCTTGTTTCTTGCACAGCAGACAGACGTTTGTCGAGACAGCTCCACCACAGCAAGCACGCTGAAAGGCATTTATCATATAAAATAGTTACTTTTTCGCGGGTGACGTTTGGAAGCAGCCCGTGATGCCACGCCTTAAAAGTGCCGGCGCGCCTGCCAGTCTTAAAACACATTGGCCATCATCCAAACATTGCGTTTCCCTCATCCGCCCAATCCTTACCAGGCCCTACCACTTACTCATGGGGTGAGCGGGGCCACTCTTCTAAATAGCTCGCAAACGGGGGATAGAGGCCACCACCACTAGAAGCCCGGACACTCTTGCAATTTGGGGCATCTGTAAATATTGCTAGGAGCAAATAGCTACTAGTAGCTCCTGGCATTACTACTAGTAACAAGAAGCTACTAGGAACAAAGGGCATCACTACGAACGGAGCAAGGACGCTACGAACGTAGCTAGAAGCTACGAACGGTGGAGGCCAAGAGCGAAACCACTCCCTTTGAGCACGTCGTGGGCCCCCGCTGCGCCTGCCAAGCGTGTCCCTACAAACGCGGTTTGCACCGATACAGCAAGGGTTTAGGGTGACTGGAGAAATGACGAGCCCATTTTTGTCCGCAAGAAAAGTTGAAGGGAGCGATAGCGCTGGATCTTGATGTTGAGGACCCAATTCAGGAACGAACTAGCTGTTCGGTTATTTGCCACCTAGTATTTTGCATGACTGTTCCTGTTTTTTTGATAGATCGTGCAGGCTGAAGGCTGAAGAGTGTTGTTAGAGCAGGCGCGGCTGGTGCGCACTTACGCCAGCCAGAGCGATGCCAGTATCAAAGGCTGCCACAAGATGTCAAGATAGATCGATCAAGATAGTACATTGTCCATCACAAACCTGACAACGCTCCATGGACGGATTGCCGCATGTATGTGGAAAAGGTCAGAGGGTTAGGTTATATATGCGGTACGCAGACAGCAGATCTTCGTCCAGTGGCCAAGTGTTGCGTTTGCTTGATGCCAAATGGCCTTGTTTCCATCGGCGTTTATGCTACGGCACTCTTGCACCTTTTGAAAAGAGGGCCCAGGAAGTGGTCTCTAATGCTGCCTCTGCGTTTGCTGGTCGTCGGCTGTGGCTTGCCCAGGTAGCGCAATGCACCGCGACAAACAGGTGAAGCTGATCGCCCTCGTGGACGTTCGGCATGTTTGCATGTAGCCATCCAGCCCAGGCAATGGAAGAGGTTGCTTCCGAACTCTGCTGTTAACCCGCGAAGTTAACCCTCCACCTCAAAAGGGCCAGTTTTACGAGGTCCTGCTGAAAATTGGGCCCAGTAGAACGAGGCACCTGACTTGGAGGGTAACCTGATGTGAAGGAACTTCTTTTCCCACTGTGGCCACGGCCGGCAATGAGGCGGCCGAGACGGCTTCGAACGAGGCCTCGCGGGTCTTGGCCTCTGGCCCAGGAAGCTTGGCGGAAAGTCTCGGCGTGGCGCTTCCAGTGTCCGGCATGTGGTGGCAGTTGGTTTCTTTCCAGTTTGGACTCCACCCTGTTGAGCCTTGGTAGGATGATGGTGTCACAGATCCTTTATTCGCTTTATTCCTTTATTCATGAGTGTTCACTCGTTTTTAGACTGTGCAGTGTTTGCGCCACCATCTTGATGGCTTCCCAAACCCTCCACAATGCCCAATTTTTTTTCCTGGTGCCAAATCCCAACTCATAGGCCGGGCCTGTAAGGAGACTTCTCGACTGCTACAGTCAGGAGACACATGGTACGTAAGTGTATCAAAGCAATAAGGGTTTTGATGAAACTTTAAGGATGAGTGACGTTCTGGGCGGCACCATCTTTCATTAAAGAACAAACGCATTTCTTCTGGGGTCAGTTGTCGAAGCGAACACACATGTTCAAAACCTGGAACGCTCGAGAGCGGTGAGGCACGGTGTGGACCAATGGACAGTTAGAGTGTTTTCGTTTTGGAATGAACATAGGTTTTGTGTTTGTAAGGTCAAAGTTGTTCTTTTGGGGCAGTTTAAAACGAGAAGAGATGAAAAGAGATATATAGATCAAGTCAAAATTGCATTGTAGAGAGGAGGCAGCAACAACAGGGCAACAAAAGCGTGTCCCGTTTGTTCATTGATTTTCAGCTAATATAACTGAATCTGAATGCTTGTGATGCCCAGGCAATTGCAACCTCCAACATGGTAGATTCTTGGGGGGGATTAAGGACATGCATCCCAAATATGCTCCGGAGTTTCACCGAAATATTCATCCAAGATGGAATTTGGAGAGCAAAAGATGACTCCATATCTCTGACTCAATATGACACATATATAACAGATATATAGAATATTAGTAATTAGTATTATATATTTAGATATACTCAGAAATGTGTGTTATGACATGACTAATTGACTAATATGTCTCTGACTAATATGTTAAATATCATAATATAAGTCATACTAAGTCATCTATAGAAGTCATGTAAGTCGCAGGTCGTGTCTCGGTGTTTCGGCTCTCAGGCCCGAAGCCCGTGCCAGGAGGGAACTTTGTGTGGAGGGGACGCCACCCCCCGAGCAAAACTGGGGTATTTGGAATGTCAGTGCCCAAATCACAGCTTTCCGTGCCTCTCGAGCTGCCCCTCAAGGATGAACAAACATGAACAAACACTTGGATGTATTTTAAGTAAAATTTCATTGCATTTCCTGATTCCTGAAAATGTTCATTCATGTTGTATGTCTTATTGTTTGTGAAAACGACTGAACCGAGGAGCGCGACTGAAAGAACGCCTCACCATCCTGTGCTCACTCTAACTGACACTGACGCTTCCCCTTCTTCAACTACCAAAGGCATTCAAGACGAATAGTTTGAGTCTGTTTTCATACACTTCACGGAGGTGATGATGCTAGCTAACCAGATAGTGCAAAGGGTGTCGAAAGACCTCCAATCCACCGAAGAAACGGCCTCCGCCGCCGTCCACCGTGGCGAAGCCACAGGAGGCCGCGGCAAAGGGGCGCGGAGGCTCAGTTTTGGGCTGATCAGAAAGCTACGAACGGAACAAGAAGCTACACGAACGGGGCTCCTGGCCTTACTACTAGGAGCAAGGACGCTACGAACGGGGCTCCTGGCCGTACTACTAGGAGCAAGTAGCTATTAGCTTATTGTTTCTACTAGCTTCTTGTTACTACAAGCAAAAGGAACCTAATAGCAAAAAGATCAGAAAGCACCGGTGATGCGATGCCTCTCCGAAAATACGGTTCCAAACCGCTATGGTTCCGCCTGGTTCCAGGGACAAGCGGTGGTTTGGAACCGGGACATGTCTCCTTTTGGGTGTTTCCTGTTTCTAAGAAAGAGATCAGATGGCGAAAGTCATCCCAAGGTAGAACTGGAAGACGACCACACATGGACCTGCCAGGGAACTTGCTATGTCGGCATTAGAAAGACCAGAGAGCTAAATATCTCCAAAAACACCTCCTAAAAGAATCAACTTGATGTCCACAAAAGATCTCCTCCATCAACGAGGTAACACCCAGTGAGCATCATGGGCTAGATGTAGATAGATCAGCTTGAACCTCAGATGACTGACCCTGTTGGATTTGGTGTGAATTGAGTGAATGGAGGCGAATGGAGAGGGCGCCCTCTTAGGAAAAGCTTATGACTTGCAGGCAATCACATGGGCCAACATAGCCCTTTTTGACTGATTCACATGGCCTCACAGGTTATAGTTCGAGCAAGTTATCGGTTTTTCTTATAAAGGTGCCACCCCACCACTTTCTCCGTTCCTCCTCAGCGCCATAGCGCCATGGCACCCTCCATGCACTCCACTTTCGTGTTCATGGCGCCCTCCATGGCCATGCTGGCGACGGTGGTACACGTGGAGGATCGTGCCGCCGGCCCACCAGCGCGACGGCTAGTGGGAGCAGGTGCGAGAAGCGCGTGTCCGCGCATGCCGGTGTGCGGGGAGAAGCGGGTCAACTCAGAGGCACTTATGGCTTTTGAATGGCTTTTTAGCTTGGAACTTGGAGCTGAAGAATCTTTTGGAACCAGAAACCCAACTGCACGACCACTTCCAGTCGACAGTGAACGAAATCTGGTCTGCATGTGCGATGGGCGACGGCCAGGCATTGAGGACGTCAACCATGAGCTCTATGGCGGGCTATACTCTCAAATGCTCGTGGGAGAGTCCTTTGAGGAGTGATGTTGCCGGTGAACGATGTGTGGTCTTCAGCTGTTGGGAAAGGAATGGATTCTGAGCGAAGAAAGTGGTGTCGTGCAACGGCACCTTTTTATCACCAACTTTTCCTTCAACTCCTTTTTTGGATGTTTAAATGAATGCGTCCTGAGAATGAACACACATGCGATGAGCATATTTTGGTCTATTTTTAGAAGAAAGATGAAGAAAGAGGGTTGCATTGTTCCGTGGCAAATGAAATGGGAACTATACAACTGTCTCGTCCGGGCAGTGGGTCACGCTCACAGGTAGACTGGCCATCGGGTGAATGTTTTACTGCCGTTTTTGCGCGTGATGTTGCTCTTTGTCAAGCTGGCAGTCTTCCAGGGTCCAGGATCAGGTGAAATATTTTTTGCTGAACTTGAACACCTTTGGGTAGAGTGACTCACCAGGAGCCAGCCTTTGAAGGCCTCAGCGGTGCTCGCATCATCGATGCGATCCCTGCGGAACCCGCGTGGCTTGGACGACCGAGAACCCGAGAACCCGAGCCACGTTCTGTGGGCCAAAAGATGTAGAAGCTGACGGCTGAACGGCTGTTACACCTCAAAAAAAAGGGGGTGACTAAATTAACGGATTTCCATAAAGTCCTCAATTAAGTCTCTTGGAAGCTGAAGGGGGGAGGCTAGAGGATGAGTTCGAGGTTTAGAAGATGTGAATGTGAGATACTTCGGGCTATTTCACGGATGCTTTGGGCCAGAGGAAAGGGAAAGCCGGGAAGGTTAGCGTTTTGGAGGTCAGTTGATGTGAAGATCTTTGCTGGACAAAGGCTAGCCGCTAGTGGCCTTGTCACGGCCCACCTCGACTGTAGACTCCTTACATGAAGGATTTCTCAAGCGCTCGCACCGTCGGTTCTCACCAAAAGAACCAAGCACCGACGCCCACCTTTTCATTTGATCCTTCACTCAACGCCTCGCCTGCCTAGGTGGCCCTCCCCGCGGCGTTGGCGCACCTGGCTGCGCGCCAACTCCGCCGCGGAGAAAGGCCGCATCGCCGTGGTGCGGGACGCGGTGCATGGAGCTTCGGCTGAAGGGGGGAGGTCGGGGTCCAACGGGGCTGCTGGGTTCAACGCTTTCCGATGTTCATGGATGGATGGATGGATGGATGGATGGATGGGTAAAGAGGTATAATGATTTGGATACTTGGAGTATGTTGGAGTCATGTAAGGGGATGTTCCTCATCGGAGAGTTTGTGATAGGAAGCATGGAAGGTTTCAATTATTGTGTCGAACTGTTTCGTGGACCGACGTGTTTTGAAGCTTCGTTTCAAAATCAGAAGGCTATGCCTGTCTTTTCAAGGGGTTTCAACGGAATTCCGCCACCCATCAGGTGCTTCACATTGGCTCCACAGGTCGCCCATGTTCCATCCCAGGTCATCAGAGTCAGTTGCTGCGGGACACCGCCATCCAGAACTACGGCCTCGGTCAGCAAGGTTTCGCCTTGATGGCCGGGAAGGCCAGGATCGGTCGCTTTGCGTCACTCGCACGTGGGACACGTGGGACGCTGAACAGGACAGGTGGAGAAATTGTGAAGGAAACATCGAAAGGTTTGTAACAAGGGGGTGTCTATAAATGCCCCTTAGAGGTGATTCGGGGTGTCCAAGAACCACCTGTTCGAAGGTGGTAGAAGATCCACAAACAAGGTTCGAAGTTCCGGTTTTGGAGCGGAAGAGGTTGACCTTTTTGCCTCAGCAAGAGGTTGAGCTCCCCGAGGGTTCCGACAGCCAAGTGCACAACCATAGGTACATTGCTAGATCCCAAGAGTAGCAAATGTTGATCCTTCCGGCTTAACTACTAGGGTCCTTACCCACCAAAACCATCCAGTAAAAAAGTCAACAGCTTCCAGAAGTTGCACCCCGCACTGCTACGTGTACAGCCGCGCGTGCCCTGCGAGGACTACGACTGCGTCCTTTGGGCCAAAGTGGATCGTATCGAAGCGGCCCGGGTCACTGTTTCGCTGCGGGACGGAGAGCAACGTGCATCGCCCGTGTACAGCCAATGGCTTGGGGCATCCTCACGGTGGAAGCTCCACGGCGTTTTGGGCGCGTCTTCATGTGCGCATGTTGATTGAAGGATGTCCGACCATGTGCTGAAGCAAGAAAACATGTTCATCTAGAGTCTACAGAAGTTGATCAAGCCTCATCAAACATGAAAGTGGACCTTGGAAGACAACAATAATTAAGTGTTGATGTGAGTCTGTGAGTGGCATTGAACAAAGGTCACGTTTTCTAATTACTTGTTAGAAGTTCTGAATTTGTTTTCGAAGTCGTTTTCTTTTTACAGGACACCCTGTAGGGCCATTTGATCAGCTGAGAGTCTTTGCGAAGCTGATCATCTCAGGCGCCCCTTGAGCTTCACCCTCACGAGCAATGTCACGAGCCATTGTGGCATGGTGAAAAACAGATCTGGCAGATCCGGCCGCAGATTCTGCGTGCAGGCCAAGGACGGGTGCTTCCAGGGTGAGGACGGATGAGGACACCAACGAAGGGGGTGCTTTTTGAATCTTTTTGATTCATTTTTCTTGCATCTACAGAGCTGTTGGACGCGAACAATCTGGGAGAAATTCCATGGTGAGCTGCAGCAGGAGCTGCCGCACCGCTGCTACCGCTGCAGTGGCGGCTTTGAGATCGCCATCGAAGGCCCAACCCCGAACTAGGGCGGGCCTTTCAGGGTGTCTCTATATAAGCTTTGAAAGAGGCATTTTGACCCTCATAAATACCTCTTACAGGGCACAAAGCTTTGGAAGTGTTTCTCCATGTTTCTCCTTAATTTCTTGCACTCCTCGCGGAAATCAGATGATTTTTACAGGAGGGTCGAGCACAAATGCTTAAAGCGAACTGATGACATCTGATGAAACATGAATATTGAGAGCAACAAGTGCATCGCTACTAGGAACAAGTGCCTTACTAGTAGTAACAAGAAGCTATTAGGAACAAGTGCATCGCTAGTAGTAACAAGTGCCTTACTAGTAGTAGCACCCTGTCTGCGATAGTCACATCATGTCACATCTCTTATCGGGAGGACTGCAAACCAGATCACGGAGTCAAAAACATCAACGATACAAATCCTGCAAACCAGATCTACAGTTGAACTACAGTTTGACTTGATACAAACTGGGCCCTTCTAATAGAGTCATTGTTGATACAAATCCTTCAAAACCATTTTGATATATTTTGATATTAAAAGGAAAAAACTCAAAAAAGTACCTCACATCTAATCGCCTCACATCTGATCTATAATGTCCTGCTCGCCGTTGAGCACCTCGCAGCCTGTTTCGTCTCAGACATCGCTTGAGGCGAAGCGATGGTGGACCAGGTGTACCTCGGCCCAGGCGACTGGGGCCGCTTCAAGGGATTGCCACTGAGCTCCGTTCAGAGCGTCCGATCGTACGGCCAGGAGCCCCGAACTCGTAGCGTCCTCTTGCTCCGTTTGTGGCGATGCCCTTGCTACTAGTACGTAGCTTATTTTGGAAACACAGGGAAAAACCGGATAAGGAGAGGGTCGTAGTGACTGGATTGGACTGTTTGGGCCATATTTCATGAAAGAAAGGCAACATGGTTTCCGGAAAAAGACGTATGGAGCTGTAGATCCAACTGTCCCAACGAGCACATTCTCAGTGTATTGGTCGTGAGATTTGCTTTGGCCACACACATCCAATCGAAGCAGGTACTGCGCCACACATAATAGTAGCGTTCTTGCTCCGTTCGTAGCGATGCCCTTTGCTCCTGCTCCTAGTAGCGTCCTTGCTCCTAGTAGCGATGCCAGGAGCCCCTAGTAGCGTTCTTGCTCCTACTAGTTTGGAAGAAACACGCAGTTCCACATTTCTTTCCTGGAGCCACTGTTTTGACCGTTGAGCAAGCGTTTTAAATGGCTTCTTCTTAGGGGTCCAGACGTGTTTGCTTGGTATTTATGTGGATTCACGATTTTCCCTTTAGTTTTGTGTCATTATTGCTTTCTTTTGGGCCCTGAATCACCTAGTGTTGGAGGATAGTCGCTTATCACTTATCAAGGTTTGGGGTTCTAGTGTTTGCCTACACTAGAATTACTCCCAGTGTGAACAAAAAATCAGTAGATTTTCAGAAGGTTCTTGGTTTTCGCATGGAATGGAACAACTCAAGAACATCGCCTGTGCAGCTTCGCATCGCTTCTGGGTACTCCCTGAGGCCGGTTCGGCGCGGGGTGGCGGAGGCCATGTTTCAAACCGCCGCTTGGGAAGTGCTCCGCTTAGGAGGCGCTCCGTTGGCGCGTGTTGGTCAGGGCCGCTGGTTGGACAGAGCAGACTGGGGAAGAATTGGAATACACATTCGGCAATGTGAATGTATGGAATAAAGACATTTAAGCAATTGGAATGAACCTTTGGCATGGAATTGTTCAATCGATGTATGTATAATGTATGGATATGTATCGGCAAAAATCACATGAGATCACGTCACATGGGAATCTGACATCGACCTCCAGGTGTCGATGTGAATTCGTTCGCCGATCTCGTCCGGGTCTTTGGAGTGAAACCCGAGAATGGGAGGGTTTCCATGGTGAGATCCAAATGGCATAACCGATGGGATGTCCGGTCAGGCCCTTGTCTTCTTCTTCTTTATCAAATCCAACGTTGGAGCTGTTCATAGTTTTCAGTTTGGGGGGTTTGGGGATTGCAAGAGAGTTTGGGAGTCGGTTTGACGATTGTTGGTTGCCTCAGACTAACTGAACTATTGAATCCCAATTTCAGAGAAGTATGAGTTTGGCACCGTCCCAGGTTTGGTTCATGTCGCTTTGGATTTCTTCATGGTTTCACCAGAGTATCCTTAGGTGTTTTGCAAGCATGGCATTGGCTCAATGTTTTATAGTACATGAAACTGCACAGGTTCGCAGGAAGGATCATCAGGATGATTTGGTGCCACGCCACGGACGTCCGAACTCCTTCCAAATTAACCAAGCTTCGCCTCCACAGACATTCAAAGCGCAAAAGAGTGCCGGCTGAAAACCGAAAACACATTTCTAGGCTTTGGCGATGCAGGTGATGCTGCAGATCTGGTAATGTACTTTGAGCATCGAAGCAAGATATTTGGATTATCGTGCTTAGATCATCTTAGATCTAGTTTTCTTGATTTCTTTGTCTTGCGTTCCAAACACAGCGTTCTTCTTGAAGGTTCTGCAGTCTGCTGGAAAGGACGTTTTCACAAGAGTGCACTCAAATACGTTCTTGCCGCGCCGCGCAGCTTTGGTACTTGCCGATGGGTCTGACGCTTGGCCGGAGCAGTCCCAGCGAGACCCATCAAAGATGTAACTTCACAAGCCCTGTGCCTTGCCTCTCACAGCCTTCCATGGCTCAGGCAGCATGTGCAACGCGCCCGAGTACCGCTGGAAGCACTTCCGCGGTCCACGGGAGAGTCGTCAGCCTTGGCAGGGCTTTTGGCATCCCTACGTGACGCTCGGTCTCGGTCTCGTTGAGGGATAGTTGGCCTGAAAGTAAGGAAGACAATGGTCTTTGACTATGCGGCTCATAATTCGACATGACCGTGTGATCAGAATGTCCATTCAGAACTCGTTGTCATCGCCCAGGAGCAGTGGCTTCGGCCTGTTCGAAGTCTTAGAGCTTTGCGAAGCTGCAGAGGTGGGCCATCCGCGCGGTGGGCTGTGCGGTTCGGTTGGGTTGTGCAGTTCGCGTGGCCAGGTGCACTGCGTCATCACTTTGAATAACCAGGAGACCCCTGAGGACGTGGCCGACTTCATCGAGTGCCACCATCGATGCATGCGGTTCGGAACTTCCAATTGCCCCTTCTGTTGCGTTTGCACGTCCCAACTTAAAAAGGATAAGAACCACTTGCCTTTATTGTTTTCAGTTTGGGCAAATGCTAAGCAGTTGCATTGGATGAGTTGAACCTTGTCACAGGACGTCATGTCATATGCGCCCGCACCCTTTAAGATTCAACTAAATTTGTTGACCACAGAAACCCGAGTGCAGTAGAACCCCGCGTCGGTGATTCAACCGTGCGGGTTCTTTGATGTTACTCACAGCCTTGGCGTTAATCGTTAATGGTTTAAATTGTGTTTGGGTGACTGGCTATGTGTGGGTCCTTCGGCACTTTGCTTTGGAAAAAGGTACTGCTTTGCTTCGGACGCGTCCTCTAAGTGGGGAACTTTGCGGATGTCCGATGGGCATCTCGAACGGAAAACGGGGCATTGTGGAGCGGAATGGATCAATATAAATTGGATGTTTTGACATGTGTCACGCGATCTTCAGATAATTTTTCATCCTCTCAACTTGGTATGGTCTGATTCAGAGGTTGGTGGCAATTTAGGAACGCACATAGGGAACTGAACACATTTGCCAGGGCAGGTTTGCTTCCCCATGTTTCCCAGTTTCAAGGTTTCATCCTATTTCGTCCTCGTTGCCGCGTTTCATTTCGTCTCCACATGGAACCAAAAGGTTTTTTGTTACTTCGTAGATTCTGGCATTCTGGGAAGTTTTCTCGAACTCTCGATACCAAGAACCCAGACCTTTCGATGAAATCGGCGGGGCGACCTGCGAGGCGAACCAGGCCCTACAAGATCTTCACGCTGGAAATCGGGAATGAACAAAACCTGACGATGGACTTCGTTCAGCAGGCGCTGGCCTCACGACAGCTCTGAAAAAAAGTATGGTGCCGTAAACGTGTGGTGCAGTTGCTGCGTTGAGAAGATTGTCAGTATGATGGCAATCATGATCAACAAGAGGTTCCAAGTAGTTGCTGCCCAAGGCTCAAGGGCCTCACTTGACATTTCATTTTGCTCAACAGATCACTTGTCACTTCAAGGAGCTAGGAAGTCGTGTTTGGGTTGTGTTTCTGGGTTTAGTTTGTTTTTGATCTTCCCAGAGGTGTTTCGGGTCATGTCTCCTTATTCTAAAGCACCCGCCACACTTGTTCTCTCTTGACCACAGCACTGAGGTGTCAGCAATCACACAGGCCATCGCGCTACGCTGTGCTCAGAAGCAGCTGTTGATGCCGCAGATTGTGGTGGGACAGAACATTGATCTGCTGGGGCGCCCAAGAGCGAGTTACGTCGCAAGAGCGAGTATGAGAGATGCTGAGATCCTTCGAGGTTTGTTTTTACATGTTTTTATTTTGGATATATTCTATCAATCACTATCATGGGATAACTCATCAACCTAGTCATTCTTGCTATATTTTTGTTTGAACCCCCCATACCCAACACACTGACTGCACTCACCAGCTGGATCTGAGGATCCCGAACTTCGAGAGCACACAGGGTCGGAAGGTGACCGAAGAGATGCGACTCGGAGGCAGAGGACCTGGGGCGACTCCCTCGGAGACCGCACCTCAGCGCCCTCACCGCGCCGGCGCGGTGCGTGGTCCTGTCAGGCAGATGCAGGTCGTGTCAGGCAGATGCAGCCACTCCAAGTGATTGGCAGATCGGGCCAATGATTGAAATCGCATTGTAAATAGCCAGTGTGGGAAGCAGTAACTTGATGTAACACAGTATCGAAAGCGGCACAAGAGTTGCCTCTCTTTTTTTCTCTCCGAATCCCTTGCCGGACTTCTTTTGGTTCCATCGCAGCCCGGCCTTGCCGGACTACGGCCGTGGCATTGTTAGAAGCAAAACAAAGCAATTTTGCCAGTGTTTTGATTCCGCAAAATACATGTTAATTCTTTGGTTGAGGGGGCTCCAAAATATATAGAGAGAAAAAGGGGTGGAAGATCTTGTGTTTCCAGTGCAAATCGGATTGTCCGGAACTGTGCTTTAAAGAACTTTAGAGTTCGCACGTGGAGTCTTTAGTTTCCTCCAACACAGATCCCATAATTGCAAATCAGCCAAGTACACCATCAGCCAAATAGGGACACATGTTTGTGGATTTCCTGGGACAATGGTGCACCGGATTTAAATCCTAAAGCACTGCCCACCACGTAAAAACCGAGGTTGAAGGTCTTGAAAGGCGTGGTGCATAGCGCCTGGGATGCCCACATCGGAGGCGAGGCCAGCTCCGAGTGGTCGATGGTGGCTTGGTGGTGAGAACATGCGATGCTACATGATGGTAACAAATGTAGCCGGTGGCCTGGCAGGTCAATGAGAGATTCTCCCAGGTGAAAAACCAGAGGGACTTGGATGGTTTGGCAACTTGAGAAACTTGAGCGTGCAGTTGGATTTTCGACAGAGTTTATGATCAGGTGATTTTCAAAGAAGAAGGGCACGCAAGGGAATGCCCATGGTTTGGTGATGGTTTTGTTCGTTAGAAACACACCCACAAAAGTTCAAAAGGCATTGAATATAGTATATACGTTTGATTTCTGCACACCACGTCGCGTGCCACGTGCTTGCCAAAACACGTATCTGTATGCCCCTCTGCAACCCTAAACCCCCCAAAAACGGACAGGACATTTCTCGGACGAAGAGGACTCTCCGGACGGAGGTGATGCTTTCTCGGACGTGGGCGACTTCAAGAAACTGCTGAATGTGAGCATGAGCTTCTTTCAGCCTGGGGACCCGGGAATGGCAGCGCAGCGTCCGCAGACCGGCTCCTTCATGCCCTTGTTTCGCCAGGTTGACACGTCTAACCCTGCGCCGCGCGTCACACCAGAAGAAGTTCCTGGCACTGGTTTGGGAAAATCCCGAATCTATGTCCTGTTCCACCGCCACTTGGGGTGTGGTGACTTGAAGACAAATTTTCATAAAGCTACTATTGTGCCCCATCTTGCAGATAAACATGCATAGCTCAACTTTTGACCGAAGCAAAGGCTGCACTTTCATCCTGCCACAGTCCAAACAGCAGGGTATTGGGGGGAGGATTTTATTACACGGCAGGCAGAGTTCACCTGATTTGACTCCAGAAACACATCCCAAAATGGGAATAGCTCTTCACCAGCTCACCAGTCCCAGAGATCCTTCCAACCGATCCCAGAGATGAAGGGACCAGTCCCAGAGTCCGCCGATGTGGCGGATCCCGACCCGCAGACGTCCGCACGGCGGCGAGTCAGAGGCCCTTCGGCACTCAGCTGGTGGTCTTGGAGGAGAACGGTGTGACCCACGACTTGCAACGTGCGCTGAACCACGCGCGCTTCCATCTGGTGAGCTCGTATCAAGGTGGGGAGGATGCATTTATGGGTCCATAATGGTCCATAATGAAGTATGAGTTCCAATAATTATGGGTCCTATATTTGGGTCCTTTTTTATTCATGCGGTTGATCTTGTCGGATCTTTGCTGTTTTTTCTTCGAGGATCAGACAGATTGTATGCTAGTTGCAGTTCGGTTTTGCTGACACTATCAAACCTATGCACCAATACCTCGATTTACTAAGGACAACGTAACAATAGTAACTCAACTCGATTTACTGTATTTCACGAATCCAAACGTAACTCGATGTACGCCAGACTTGTGTCTCAAAGACTCATATCACTGGTCTGGACAGAAAGGGGTGAGACAGGGGTCGAGGTGCGCCTTCCATCGTGTCTGGTTCGCTCGTGAGCGAAGGTCATGCTGCGTGAGGTGACTTTGTGCTAGTAACAAGTGCATCGCTAGTAGTAACAAGTGCCTTAGTAGTAACAAAAAGCTATTAGAAACAAGTGCCTTGCTACTAACAATAAGAGGTGACTTTGTGCTCATGGACACGGCGGCGAATGGACTTCAAGTCTTCAATCAGAACGACAATGGTTGGGACCAGGTGCCAAGACGACACCCGGATTATGGGCCACGTAACATGCACCATCCAACGGTTTTTTGTTTGTTTGTTCGATCGTCTCTGTGTTTTCTTAGTAAGGCCAATTGGAGAGCTAGAGAAGACACACCATTCTGAGTCTGTGACTAAGGGCTTGGAATGGCCTCGCCGTTGATGCGATGAAAATCCGACTTCCCCCTTTTGGTTGGTCAGTTAGAAGGTATATAATACTTTGGAGTAGTCCATATGAGCCCCTATTGTTCATTCAGGCAAAGGCCTTTCACACCACTCACTATTTGTTGGATTTGGTTGGTTAAATTGGTACTTGACGGGATAATCGGATCATGTGTGCATTACGGATGAAATGGACACCTTTTGTATCCCTCGTTAGGAATTGTTCATGGTGGCCCTTCAATTCGCATTTAGCTACGAATGATGGCTAAACTTTTTGCACAATTGGCGAACACACTTTCCTGGAAGGATTTACTTTCCTCGGGGCATGATCCAGCAACAGTTCCAGCAACACTATATCTTCAGCTGGGATCAAGGGCAAGTTCTTCTCCACGCTCCCTCTCACTTTCATCACTGGGCACATCCGAGTACTCAGATTGATGCAGAGAGAAAGGTGCAGAATCCTCTCCAAGAAGGAACATTCTGTTTGGGTGGACATTATTCATTACATCTTATCACTCTTTTTTCAAAAGCACATGCAAAAGCAGCCAATGAATTCGGAATCCTCTTCGGATGTCGGTAGAGATTGCCATTCACATCCATCAACACACGGTCGTTGACGGGAAGAGACCTGTTGTGAGTGAACGACATTCCCTTCTTTTCCCGCTCAGAATCGCCGGGAAGGTTGCTGAACGCAACTCGGTAGGACCGCGGGAATGGTGGATCCACCATTGGCGTTTTTGGGATGTTGATGTTTTAATATTTATCTCTTTTGGCGCGCAACATGTTGTTAATTAGCCGGGGGCGTGTTCGTTGATCAACTTTCTGCTATTCTTTTTGCAGGGCCAGATCATGATCACGCCGGACCAGGCGCGAGGTAGAAACCAACCAAGTAGGAGTGGCTCTCAGAATGGCAAGCAGACTGATCACAGATTGTGACATCATGTGCACCTGGTGTTTTCTTTTATTGTGACAATTGGCACCTTTTGTGAATCCACGCGCACAAATACCATGCCTGAGAACCGAACTTCACAGGAGCTTGGACTAAACACAGAGGAGCCTGGTCCTTTCTGAAGCTCCCAGTTGAGTTTTGCATCTTCAAACGCTTCGCGACTTTTAGAACGATCTCCAAGTCCCACACGTTTGAGCTCCAAGTCCCGCTCAGATGCTCCATGCAGATGGCTGATCACCTCGGTTGGGACATAAAACCAAGCGGATCAACTGAACAGATTCCGTTCGGGATGTCCACCAGGATTTGGGGCTCCAGGTGTGACCCACAGCCATATGAAAAAGGACCGTGGAGTGATCATCCCACTTCAGCTCCCCTGATCTTGACATGGATGTATCTCGTTGGGAGGCTTTTTCAAGATCACAGACAAAAGATGACACCGGCTCACGAGCCAAACACGGGAGGTTTGGCTTTCACCCTATGGCTGGTCGCAAGCCATGCTCTCCAAGCACAGCAAGGCCTGCCCTTTTGTTTCACTGTTCAGCCGAATTCTTTTGCTACATTTGGCTACTCGATGGGGATATTTGGTTTTCTTGCTTTTGCCTTAAAAGACGCAAAAGGGATTGGTGCATGTGGATCAGGATCAAGGCATAGACAACCACTGAATTTGGGTCTATAGGCTCACTCCTAACGGGCATTGTGTCGCAACGAATGTGTGATCGCGTTTGATCTACACCCGTGGTTTTCCTTTTGTTCTTGTGGCTTTGATTGAATGAATCCAACCATTACAACTCAGGTTTGACCGAATTTGCAGTTGAATCGGGACGGGTGGCGAAGTGATGGAGACTCGGACACTTCGGACAGGGACACCTTTTAGAGGCCCACGGTGGCACCATCTCCAGAGTCCGTTCCGGGCTTTTGAACCTCGAAAAACGACAGAACCGTCTATCTTTCACTTCAACTCGGACCAAACCCGAGGCCTTCAATGTGCCACTTCACTTTGAGATCTCTGCTGTTGAAGACCTCGAACTGGGCGCGTACAGGCGGACCGCGCGTTGACGTGCGCAGTCGGCGCCGACCTGAGCGAAGCCTGGCACCGCAGCTTCCGGTGAGGTGGTGGGGTAGCCACTGGTGATCACCGCTCCAAGCGCAGCAAAGCCGGATGTTCACTTGGCTCGTTCTCAAGCCAAGTACACGGGGCACGGGGCACACGCAGCGATGTCTTGATTTCTTCCGAACCTGGCTTCTTCCTTTAGCACTTGTCACTTTGGCCAAATTTTGCTAGCATTGACATGGGAAAAGGATGGAAAAAGTGAGTATAGACCACCGCTTTTAAGGGGTGTCAAACTCTCAAACCACGAGTTGGGCCCTTGAAACCAATACGGTACGTTATGTTGGGCAATGTTGGGCATGTGGCTCTGAGGTCGTCGGTTTTTCGACCAGATCCTCACCTGCCTCACCTCTGGACCACGCGCAGGTCGACGGAGGGTGCCTCAAGAAGTGGTGTTGGCCTTCGACTGGTGCAGTGGTCAGGCCTGGCGCAAACGAAAGCAGGAAACATCATGAAATGATTTGGCCGGTGTTGCCTAGAATGCTAAAGTACGTTCAAATGTATGATTGGGGTGCAATAGATCTTCTACAATCCAGGACTTTGTGTCAAATATATAGTCAAGGACAACCAGTAGGCAGAATTGTGGTCCTTCAAACCAGTAAGCAGATCTCGAGAAAAAGTTGAGGCATGATAAGAATAGTGACCCCAAATTTTTGGGACTGTAACATAAAATTTCTGCTTACTGCAGTCCCCTGAAAATCTGCTTACTGCAGTTGGTACCGGGTGGATAGACAAGAAGTATATTGAACAAAGATGAACAAACAGCCGCGTATGCAGTACTTGCACGGTCACATATATTTATATATAGAGAGAGTTGCTCCTATATCATCCAATATCCATGCCCATCCATCACCCGCTGCAAAATCTTATTCTGAACCGATGGAAAGTTGATTTGTAGATGTTCCATCGGTTCAGATGTCTTCCCCAAGGGTGGTTTTCAAAAGAAATGCAGCACTGCAGTAAGCAGAAACCATGTCTGCTTACTGCAGGTCGTTCTCCACAAGCTGTCTTTTTCCCCCACCCATCGTCTCGAAGTCCTCCAAAGAGCTGCAAACAACTGCAGAAGGGGGTGCCATTCATCCACAAAATATGGAACATGTCTCTCTTTTTCTCTCTCTCTCTCTCGCTCTCTATTCTCTCTCTGTATATTCATACACATCTAGCAGATCTGCAGCAAAAACCACAGGTAGAGCTCTATATGCAAGGGATCCATTGTTTGCACAAAAAGCCACCGGCACCCCACAAGAAGATCGTGCATCTAT